GCAAAATGAGGATAGCTACCAAAGTGAAATGCAACTTTTATATTGTTGTATAACAATGTTATATGAGAGTAAATGTTGGGCCTATAAGGTTCAATATATTCACAAGATGAGTGTCGCGGAAGTGCAAATCTTAAGATAGATGTGCTATCATACAAGATTATAAATAATGATTTGCCTCTTTTGACTTTTTGACATGAATGATGAGTATGTTCCTTAGAACCTCTACTTAACTTATGTAGTCCGCAAATGTATTTTTCCTCCGAGTGCTGGAAGAATATTGCCTAATTTTATCGTACTAAGTTCTGAAACGGCATGAATTTGTCATAGATTAAACATCTCACTCTATGGACCCTCTTGCAGTCTCGTCTTTTCTTGTGGTGAAATGTAACAGAAACTATTAGAGACTCTTGACTTGTTTTTATTTTTTATTTTATTTTTTATTTTTTAAAACCCCTCCCAAATTAGGAGGATCTATAGTGTTTCCACTTTCCACACTTCCCCTCCAGCGTGACTCGAACCCAAGACCTAACGGTCGTAGGTGGAGGTGCTTTTACCAACTGAGCAAGCCTCACTTGTCGACCCTTGACTTGGTTAAAACTCTCTTTTTATCCTACACTTACAGGACATTCGCCTTTACATGAAGGAAGATGAGAAACCTTCATTTGCCGAACTTTCTGAAAGAGCACATTTGCGAAGAGAAGTTGCTATCGGATATGTGAAGAACAACAAGAAGGTATAGAATCTTGATTTGCTTTTGTAAATAAAAAGGACATAGAAGCTCAACCTCGTGCCTAATCCATTGCAGGTTATCAACCCAATCCCGAAATCAGAACCCCTTTCTCTTGAACCGGGTGATTTGCTGATAGTGATATCAGAACTTGAAGGAGAACAACCCGTGATCACAGTCAATTAACAAACAAACANCAACAAACAAACAACAACGACGTCTCAATCCCAAACAACTCAAGGAAAATAATTGAGCTTGCACCTTACTCATTACACCAACTACAATGAATGCCAGGTTGTTGTATAGGTTTTCTGTTGGATCATCAGTTCTTGGCTTCTTATCAATTGCTGACAAAGATTGAAGAAGAGAAACAAGGAGCAAGCATGATTCAAAGTGTTCGCGAATGTTGCAGATAATAGGAGATACAAGTTACAGGAAATGTATAAGAAATAAGCACATCAAAGCTATAAAATTTGCAAAGGAAAAATCAAAGTTGGATAGAACTATAGGTTTCTTTCTTTTCTTTTCCACTACTGGTTAAGAGGAAAAATCCCATTTTTTATAGAAGAACCATCAAACTCAAAGGAGAGGTTTTAGAAACAGTTACAGCCAAATATGATTTCATTGTTTAAAAGGGTGATGAAGATAGCTGGTGAATTAATTCACTTCATCTTAACAGGTTTTTGATCAAGAGAAATGATACTACACTGTACAAAGGATGATTCTTGATAATTCATATTCTGTGTGAGAATGATTTCCCATGATGTATAAATAATAAACTATAATCCTTTTTTGGTTCCATAGTGATGACATTTTTTTATAACTTCACCGGCTCTTTTTTTTTTTTTTTTTTAAAACTTTTAGTTGTATTCTATATAATATTAGACTGATTTGAGGTTAAAAGGAGCGATATGTATAGTGAGGATTTAAATAGGCGACTCGGAGTTACTTGAGATTGTGGTGTAGTTTGTTGTAATAGTGACTTTTTTGCTAATTATTTGTCCATTATAATGACCTTTTTTCTTGTAAGGTAGAGCTTCTTGAATGTCATAAAGGTTGGAAAAAAGAATACCTATACCTATACCTATTTAAAGGAGTTCTAATCTACGGAAATAAACATTTTTAGTGTTAGTGGGGAAAGATTGTATGGTAGGTCTCAATTTCCTCCTCCTCAAACCTATTATCAAAACCCTTTTAGTTTTTATTAAGCTCATATTTTAATTTTTTTTTTATGTATCTCATTTCCAGTACAAAGAACCAAACACTCCTGGAAAGAAAATGTTATGCATTACAATGTCTACATTATTAATCCCAACTTGAGAGGTTTGGTCATGTTAGGAGGAGGAGCACAGACGTCTCAGTGAGAGGTGTGAGAGGTTGACATTGGAGGGCCTACGGAAAGGTAGGGGTAGGACAAAGGATAGGTGGGGAGAGGTGATTAGGCAAGATATGACACAGCTTCAGCTCACCGAGAACATGACTCTTCGTAGCAAGGTATGGAGATCGAGCATTAAGGTAGTAGAGTAGGTAGTCTAGAGTGTTCATAACAGTGGTATTGGCACGCAATCTCGCTTTATGTTGGTAGTAATTTTTTATGACTAACCGTTGTTTTCTTTCATTGTTGATCACCTTACTGTTTTGTTGTTTTTATTCTGTTTTTATATGGCTTTTTGGTACTTTCCATTCTTGTTTATATTTTCATTAATGTGGTGCTTATACTTTTCTGAGCCGATGGTCTATTGAAAACAATATCTCTATCCTCACAAGTTAGGAGTACGGTTTGCGTACACACTACACTCCCCAGACCCTACGGTGCGGGATAATATTGGATATGTTGTTGTTTGTATTTTAATTCAAGAATAATTTATTTTTAAGCATACGACCCTTGTCGGTATGTTTGCAATGCCTCAGTGTACGTCGGGTCAACTAGAATTTTATTTTTAAACGAAAGAAATCTAATAATGAAATACAAAATATATATAGGATTTATTTTCAAACCATTTCCTCATCAGCGGTAATTCTATGTGTTCTAATGTTGATTTACACCACCTCTAATTCAAAAGACGATCTTTACAAAAATAGTGGATTGGATTTACAATTTACCTTTCTTAACCGAAACATATAAATTATAAATTAATTATGTACGGTTACTATTTAGGTTAATTCTTCAATAATAAAAAGTTAAAAAAGAAAATAGGTTAATTCTTCGTTAAAAACAAAGTTCAAAAAGAAAAAAAGGAAGCCAAACCTAGCTCCTTCTATCAAAACTCCATAGGAGTCGCACAATGTCCGCTCCACAACAAAGGCTTCTTCTGTAGAAAAGAATTGCTCCGATTTCAGTACCGACCTTTGTTTCGATATTATTAATGGGGCATGGCGGTTATGGGAAACGCAGAATCCCCGACGCCGCTAACAGTAGAAACCGGCGAGAATCCAAACCCAAATCATTAGCTGTTGATAAGAAATCCAAGTCAAAGTCCAAGCCTAAGGCTAAGGCTAAGGCTGTCTCTATCAAGAATCAAATGCGCTCCATCGAACGCATGCTCCGCAAAGTATATATTTTTACCCCTTTCTCTCCTTTTGTGTTCTTAGTTCTGTTGTTTTTTATTTGTAGATAAATTTAGGTATCTAGAAAGTATGTAAAATCCTACAGTAGCAATTTTGTATATTGTGTAGCTAAAACGAGGTAAACAGTTAGTTAGTTAGTTAGTTAGTTAAAGAAAAAACTGTTTGACTTCAAAATAGTAATGGTGTATTATAACAGGAGTATATATACTAGAGCACCATGAAATGGGGTTGGTTATTGCTAATTTCTAAGAAAAACTTGTACTTTATGGAAAGAGGGGTTTAGAAGATGCCCTTTTTTTAATTTTATCTGTGTGCGCTATTGGAGATATTGCTTTGTGATGCATTGTAACTATACTACAGTGCCATGAAATGAGGTTGTTTAATGCTAAATCCTCAGAAAAAGCTTGAACTTTTTATACAGAGATGGATTTAGAAAATACCCTTTTATTTTTGTCTCTGTTAAATGTGCTTTTGATTCTTGATTAAGTTCATTTCCTTGTGTGCTATTTGGAGTTATTGCTTTGTGATGCAAAATGTAATTTTAAATTTGATTAGAGTTGGTTGCAGAAGTTATATATCTTGGCGGTGTTTGCGCTCTTTAACTTAACTAGCAATGGGGTGGCTTAAAGTTATTGTCTTTGCTCAACTTTCTTCTTGTTTATCTGTCGTTTTTTTTTATTAGCTTAAGCGTAAAAAGATAAATCCTTTTTGTTTCAACCATGTTCTTTAGAAAGTGAAAAAGCAAAGAGAACAGTTGAGAAGGTTGATTTTGAAGACAAATAAAGCTCCCAAAACCACTGTTACTTGCCTAATTAATATCATAAACAAGCTATTGTGGTTAGTATCTGGAAATAAACAGAGATGGAAGTTGTAAATACAAAACAAATGAAACTTATAGATTTGGACAACCTTCAACATTATAGGAGTAATAGGATGCTTAGTTTTTGTCATTTAATTTAAGATTTATTTGTTTTCCTAGCATCTTCCAGGAAGGATTTGCTATTACCATGGATTGCTGGAACAAACTACTAAGTGTAGGGATGACTAATTTTGCACCCAATAACTGATACACTTTTTTGGCCATGCCTTCTATCATACATAAGCAACAAACTAGTGTTTGTAATAAATCTTTTTTTTTACCAAGCAATTTTATTCCATCACATAAGTTATATAACAGTTAGATAAGACAACGTAATGGATATAGTGGATTCATATTGCCGACCGCAACTAACTTGGGATCGAGAAGTTGTTAATTGATTGGTTGGGATATAGTTATATTTATATTTTTGTTAAATCAAGTATGACATCAATGTAATGATTATGGTATCCACCCTAATTGTATTAATATGTCGGATAATTACAGATGACATTTTTTCACATTTTAAGTGTCATGCTGTGGTGTCCATGTTCCACTTTGAATTCATAATTATCTGCCTGTAAATTTTGTAATAAGTTTTGATTCCCAGACAAGCATCCTGACCCGAGACTCAAATGTGGCTTTGCATTAAATAGATTTAAAGCAAAGTTATTTGCTTGGTATCAGCCATCTCTAACTTCAAGATCTCTCAAGCTACACGTTTATTTAGCAATTTTAGTCAACCTATGTGTGGCCTAGTAGTCAATGAAGTCTTAGGTTCATATCCCAGTAGAGGCAAAAACACTAGTTAGTTTTTTCCCATCTGCTTAAGCCTTGGTGAATAGAATTATCCGGTACTTGCGCTGGTGAGAGATAGCAGATACCTGGTAGAATAGTCGAGGTGCGTGCACGCTGGTCCGGACACCACCATCAAAAAAAGATAGCATTTTTAGTCTTTAAACCTGAGGTAGTATAAGATTTGAGTGAAAAATTGCTGAAAAACATAGTAACCGGCTAATATTTCCAGGATCTGCCTCCTGAAATTAGAGAAGTTCAAAAACAGAAGTTGGACGAACTCAAAAAGCAACAGGAACTTCACAATCGTCTGGCTGTGGAACGCAAAATATTTCTTCACAACAGGAAGGTTAAGTTTTTTGGTTAGTAACTTCTCCTATGCTTTATAAATTTGAATATGCTTCAAAAATGTTGTGCTTTAGTGTCAGAATTGATTTGTTGAGCTTCCATTTATTGGCAGAGAGAAGAAAGATTGAGAGAAGAATAAGACGTTTGGAGAAACAGCAGCGCACTTCATCTGGTAAGGCGCAAGAAACAGAAATTGCTGAACAACTTGCTAAATTGAAAGAGGACCTTGAATATGTTCGGGTGAGCTTCTGATTAGTTTACCTGTTTCTTGTGTTCTTTGGTTTCCATCTCCGGTGGAGTTCAACTCTGTTTTTCACTGTAATGATCTTTTCACTGAAGCAGTTTTCTACTTTTTCTCATCCAAGATTTAGAATTTAGTCTATTTTCTTTCCAAAGAAAGAAGTTAATGAGAAGGATAAAGTCAAGTGTTTTCTGCTGAATATATTGTTGATGACATTTGTTTTTTGCTAGTGTCCTCTTATCATCTCAATATGTCTCTTTCATATTGATGAAGATGCGATAGTTAGCCTAGATTTGGGGTCATTTATGGGTTCCATTAGGAATTTGCTAATGCAGAGATCACCTGCTGTAATGGCTAACTCTGAAATCTATCTTTTAGAAATGGTTTCTCATATAATACAATAGAACTTATTTCTTTGCTAGTTTAAGTGTAAACATAATTAGCCATTTTTGTCTTCTCACTCTGATAGCGAAGTGCTATTTCAATCGCAGTTCTTTCCCAAGAATGAGAAATATGTGTCCTTGTTTTCGGGAGGTGACGAGCAAGATATTGTTGACAAAAGAAGTAAATTACGTGAGCAAATTAAAGCCAGTATAGTTGCGGCTGCCGCAAGTGGAAAGGATTTGGAAGGTACTCTGTTGTTCCGGTCAGTAGTTCACATTAGTTTTGACTAGCTCCGCATAGAGTTCCTTTTGTTTTAATGATGCTTATTGCAGCACCTGGTATGGTCAAAATCTGTAACTAATAAAACACTACAGCGCAGATATGTAAGCTGATTTTATCTTACCTTAGCTACTAAGTTATCAACCTCATGTCCTCATCAAAACTTAATGGATCCTCTTTTGCAGATAAAAAGGGACTAAATGAATCTTTCCTTTTTCTTGTGTTAATCATTTTAAATTTTAATATCTGCAAGATTATCAGTTTTATGAAACATGTGAGCAAGAGGCTTAAATTACTGGTATTTAGGGAATAAAATTCTTTTTTATAGAAAAAAGTGTACTTCAGTTGATGGTTATGTAGTGTTACTTTGTTATAGGCATTTAATCAGATATTTTTGTCCATGCTTCTGAACGATGAATTGTGAAAAAAATCTTGGTTAGCTTCCGTGAAATATCTTGGCATAATTTTTGGACGTAACATTAGGAAACATTATTGGCTTGGATTAAGAAATTACTTTTAAGAATGTTACCATTATCAAAAAAAGAAATTACTTTTAAGAAGCTCCTACGATTTAGCAAAATTGATCCTTGTCAAAAAAAAAAAACGATTTAGCAAATTTTAGAGTGGGAGATGGACGTTATGTCAGAAGCTGCAACATAGGGATCTTCAGTCGACTTAAATAGATGGATAAAATGGCATCTAGGTGCAGGAATGAAATATCCTTATTGTGCTCAATATTTAAAGATAGTCTTTTAGACGGAAGTTCAGTTGCTCTTCTCCTTGGTGTGCTTGTTAATTTCAAATTCAGTATTGGCTATGTTGTTTCCACCGACTCGAACTGACCCCTCTGCTTGCCTTTCCTAACAGAAACAGGGAGTGAAGATGATGGGCTTCTGGATTTAAGCAGTGATGATTTCTTTGAAAGTGGAAGCTCAAGTGATGATGCTGATGACGAGTTGACTGATAAAAGTACAAGGTATTGATTTGTCCTTAAAAACTACTAATTGCTGTTCACTTCATGCTTGCAGAACTTAGTAATTATTCTGTGTTGAGTCAGATTTTTTTGGGAAGATGGACTGAAGTCTATAATGTGTGCAAGGGGAATTATGACATTATATCAAGGGTCATGAATTTTCTCGTAATGTTGTTTGATGAATAATTAGTGTTAGATTGTAAAACATAGAATGAGCTTGCAGTGAAGTTAGTACTAGTTAAGTTCCAATTCAAAGCTGGTATATCCATCCTCTTCTAAAACTCAATGGAATGAAGCAGGGAATAAAAATCGATCTTCTCCTAAAACTCAATGAAAGGGAGTAGGGAGACGGAAACCAATAAAAGGTGCAAGATTCACATGGACTCCACTTGTCAACACTTCGTTCTAGATTCTTTATTTTATTTTCTGAAAACAAACAAACAGCATAACTATGCCTGAATCCCTGACTAGTTAGGTCCACCTCCCACTTCTTAAAAGAGGATAAAATTGGCATTCCCTCTGGGGTCTCTAGAAGGTGATTAATGCTCACGTAATGATCAATTTGCATGAAGCCTTCAGTACGGAACTCTTTTTAAGCCCTTGCTCTTGTTGGTCATTATAGGGAGAACTCTAATGCTTTTTATTGCAGAGAACAAGCTTCTAGTGCATCAGGGAAAGCAGCTTCTAGCATGTCCAGCGATGAAAAAAATCAGGTCTCTCAAGTGGAATTGTCTACTTTTCCTACTGAACATTGACTTTGGAATTTAATATTCAGCGTAGTCCCTTACTTTTTGAAATGGTGTATGCAGAGGCAAATATCTGCCCGTGCTCTAATGCCACCACCTCGTCCTTCAAGCAAATCATTTAGTCATTCAGTAAATAAAAAATCACGGTTTGGAGGATCTACAAGTAAGAAATCATCTTTTCGTGATATGTCAACCTCCAGCAACACATCAGATAGCATTGATCGATCTGCCTTCGGAAAAGGAAGATCTGCAGATTCACTCACAGGCAACAGTGGCAATATCAGCTCTAACTCTGATGCTCGAAAACCCCGAAGAAAGAGAAGACCAAAGAAGAAAAAACAACAGGTTGTTACTTTTGAATCCAATGTGGCTTTTCCTTCCTGATTATCGTTATGCATACTCAATTTCAAGCACACTTGGCCAACTTATTAGTTAACTATGTCCTACTTTGGCCTTGTGGCACCTAACATGCTGGAGACGCCCCAAAAACACGAGACTAAAGTGAACAATAAGTTGAAGTCTTCAATGTTGGTAAAATTTTGAGAATTATCCTGTTCAATTTATGTTGGGTTCAAAATATGAATGCGCAGACAGAGTCAGAAGTGGTGAACTTGTGTACAGCACATATATTCAAGTTGTTGAACTTGTGGACAGCAGGTTGTTGAACTTGTGTATTTCAGTGTTGTTAAAGTATATTTTGCCCCATGCTGTTGTGTCCTCGTACCTTTAAATAAAGGTCTACATCTTTCTGTGTTGGTGCTAATAATGCCATTCCTAGGACTTGCTGTTTTTGACCTTTCGTGCATGAAGGTCAGTTTCTTGAGGAATGAATTATTTCATGCTATGCACACTTCTCTGTTAGTAAAGTCCTGTGTGGCTTTACCCTTAAAAAAGGTATAATGGAAGAAGCATCTGTCAAATGCATTTCCTTTCCTCTTTTCTCCTCATGTGTCAAATGCATCTTTTTATTGTTGAAATAATAGATACTAATAATATATCTATATAGGTGGGTTCAAATTAGACTCTCTGGGCCTGTTTGGTACGAGGGATAAGGGATAATTAATCCCGGGATTAAATTTGAGATGAGTTTATCCCACGTTTGGCTGGGGTAAAATCGCGGATTAGTTATCCTGGGATTGTAGTGTTATTTTTATCCATGGGAGGGTGGGATAACTAATCCCGGGATAATTAATCATGGATAACTTGTTTCCCAACCAAACGACCCCTTTGTGGTATTCTCTGTTACTCGGTAGGTCTTGTCTGGGGTTTACTTCTACATAGAATTGCCAGATAAATATATAGAAATTTATTAAGTGCATCTTAGCCTAGTTCTTGAATACTGCTGTACATAAGTTTACCACCTTCGGCACAAAATGCAGTTCTTAAGACTATCTACTGTGTTTAAACACTCCTTTGACTTATGTTTCAGTTGTTATTCATAACTAACTGGTTGCTTGTTTTCAAACTTTCAGGCTTGAATCAAGTTCCTATAGTTGCCAATATAATGTTGCAGCTTGTTTGTACCAGAGTTTAGTTCTGAGGACAATTGAAATGCCTCTGTATTTCAAGAATTAGATTGCAACTTGTTGAGGCTACTTATGTTTTAATAACATCTGTTTGATATAGTCTTCATTTTAATGGTGTAATCACTGCTTTAATCTCCAACCTCTTACACCATTGCCTCCCCCAATTTTCTCCTAAGGGGTGAAAGAAATATTTATTTGGGCAAAAATCACTTTTAGCCCGTGGCATAAACTATTTACATCTAGTAGCCGCAAAAGTGTATAAAATTAATTTTTGTATAAAACATATATATATATATATATATATATATATATAAAATATTTTTCGGCTATTATTTTGAGAGCTGCTATACGGTGTCATTTTCCTTATTTATATTTAGTGCGCGCGCGCACAATAAAAGTGACAATACACGCCCGCACACAGACGTTTGTGTGTTATTTCTAACAATTCAATATGAACAAATAGGAAACAAACTTACAACCCGAGGCGGAGATAGAGGAGTAGGAGGGGTTTATCCGAACCCTCTCACCAAGAAATCACATTGTATATACAAGATCAAATTATTTGTTATATACACATAGTAGATATTGAATCCCCTCGATGATTATTCTGTTTCCGCCACTGCTTACAACAACCTAGAGTGCTTAAAATTCTGATTATTCTTTAATGTTAACTTTTTATGTGATTTTTTGTCCATATTATTACTAAAAGTTACGCCAAAAAGAGTTCTCAAACGGTAAGGCAAAGTTTTCTTGGGCGTCCACAAAATATTCTGCATTCATATATCTCTTTTGTAATCTTTTGTTCAATTTCGGGGTGTTCAAGCCATCCAGTTATTGCTACATTGGATGCCAAGTGCTTTTGATTTCTTTTTTGGTCGATAAACAGTAGATAATTAAACCCAAAAATAAGATAATGCAGCTCTGACTCTGCAGACGAAGTACTGAAGGTTTAATTAAAAAGGTTCTTTTGCCTTGTCAAGTTTTTACACTTATAATAATTATTTAATATTATGATTAACAATGTTTAAAGTTCTGCCCTTTTGCCCTAAAGTGATACCATTCTATGTGCACGGTGTAATGACAACTATATTTTAAAAATGGTTTACATGCCTATATACACGGAAGTGTAAAGAATTTTTTATTATATGTTTCAAATAAATGCTTATTAAGAGCCGTTTGGACATAAGAAATTTTTTCTTTTTTTCAAAAAAACAAAATCAGAGTAATGTTTGGTTATGAAAATTTTACATTGGAAAATTAGTATTTTTAAGTTTTACAAATTTACCCTATATTTTTAAAATTTATAAAAGGACCTCAATCAGTTATTAAACCTAGGTAACAGCTACAATTGCCCACTATCTGATTGAGGCCTTGGACTACATTTTGATATCAACTGTTGAGATCTATAATTTATACTTTTACAGTTACTACAACTTTTATTAGAGATTGTTCGTACAGTTAAACAACCAGCATGTTTGATTGTTTGCTTCAAGTAGGATAATCAAGTCGAGGTGATTTTGATATTTTTTTACAAATTGTGGGGTATAAATCATGTTTCATGGTTTTGAAAAAAGTACATCCAAATATGTTAGCAAAAATTATAACCAAACACAACTTCATTTTCAAATCAAATTTTAATAAAATTCCAAATTTGAAAAAAAATCTTGGAATTTATGTCCAAACGCCTACTAAATAGCATTATCTATAATTATCTTTTAACTTTATTTCTTGTAATGGCAGTTTTCAAATTCAAACTCTTCTTAAATACAATATCAAAAGTGATTTAAAAAGGAGTACTAAACTTGGAAATGGTTGCAGGCTAACTGAATTTAAGTGAATCATTTCATATCTTTTCTTAAAAGCATCCAAAGAATTAGTAGAGATTTTCTAAAAAGAATAAGATGTTAAAAAATAGTAAAAATAAGGAAAATGTAAGTTAAAAAAGGTTACTTTACTTTAATTGCTGTCTAATTGTTTGCTGAATTGTGACCAAGCAACCATTACCTCGTAAATCTCATCCTTAGCATGTGTTAATTAAATGTATCTGGACAGTAAGTGAAGAATAAGATTTGAAATATTGATTAAGATTATATTATAGTAATAATCAAGTTGTTAACTTATTTAATTTATTTTTCAGTTAACTTTGGTTTGCTTTATGTACGTAGCACAGTGCCCTAAGATAACTTAATTTTTATGCTTGAAAATCCGTTACAAACATTATTATAAAATACTTTGCAAAGCACAAGAATTTTCTTGATTGCTCAATAAGATTCTTAAGATAAATGTTAATTATTTGATAAATGTCTTCTGTCCACCAACCAGCAAACATGATCCTTAAGAGAGACTTTGGATTCTTATGTCAAAAGCGCGGGAAAATATATAATTACTCTAATTAACTATGATTATGTGATAAAAAATTTATACAAAACACATATCTTACATTTTTTTGCTTGGTATAAATATGGGTGCAGATAAAAAAAATATTTCCCAGATCCCCAGGGGTGTATGTAGTATTAAGGTGACGGATTTAATTAACTGAATTCGTAATTTTTAATGCAGAACATAAATTTATATATAAAAATTTACTAAAATAAATCTTGAATAGGCTTTAGAAGAGCGCACTTAAGACAGCTCATATTATGCAATAAATAGAGAAATATAACATAAAAACAATGACAAGTTGATAACAAAAGCTAAAATCTAATCACATGAATGATTGTAATGAGATTTTATTTATTTATTTATTTTTGCTTCCCAATTAATGTTATCTATGTTTGGAATAGGGCAATTTTGCAAGAATATAGGCATTGTTCATTAATGGTAGTGGATTTCTTAAATTAAGTACCTAAGTTTTAATGCATTTTCTGCTTCTGTACTTCACTCATTTTGACCTTTGACCATGTCTGGCATTTGAAATTTTTTTAAGCTTTAATAATTTCATATTGAACTTTGACTTTTTCTAGATGGAAGAAAATTTAGATGGACTGTATTATGATTATTCTGAAACAATTAAAACTTCTTGCCAAATTTTTAATCAATGTACTTGGGAGTTAAAATCCAATGAACTTGAGTTTTATTGGTATAGTTTTTGAAAAACTTTAAAAAAACTAAAAGCCATTTTGTTTCGTAGCATGGGAAGGGGAGCCTTGGCGTAACTGGTAAAGTTGATGTCATGTGACAAGGGAGTCACGGGTTTGAGCCGTGAAAACAAGCTCTTGTAGAAATGCAGGGTAATGTTGCTTACAATAGACATTTGTCGTCCGATCCTTACTCGAACTCCGTACATAGATAAAGGTTAGTGCACCGGACTGCCTTTTGTAAATAGATGCAGCCATGAGTTCGAATCATATCGCAGACAAAAGCATATTATTTAAGTGGAAAATGACAGATGGACGAATCCATAATTCACTAATGCGTCAGTTGATCCTAAGAGATTTCTAAATTATGAAAAAGAAAAGTTCACCTTTGAATATAACTATTGAAATTGAACACTATCTATAAACATCAGCTACTGTGTAAAGAAAATTGGAAATGAGAAGATTATTTTAGCTGGCCTGAGTATTTGATTAACGGCAAAGTGCCAAATATATCTCTCTACTTTCGAAAATAGTCTAAGAATACCCCTCGTTATACTATTGGGTTATCTATACCCTTGCAGTCATACTTTGGGTTCAAATATATCCCTCATTTAAACGGAGGGACACGTGTTATCGTCCTGTTGGTCAATTCTAAATATCTCCTAATTAATTAAAAAGACTCATTACCCAGACCCGAAAAATAATTTTCTTTTTTGTAAAAACTGGAAAAAATTAAAAAAAAATTTACTAAAAACTGAAAAAAACGAAAACTGAAATATTTTCTAAAACAATATTTTTGTAAAAACTGAAAAGAAAAAAAGAACAACCTGAAAATCAATTTTTTAAACCAATTAAAAACTGAAAAAAACTGAAATATTTTTAACTAAAAACTGAAAAAAATAAAATATTTGTTTTTTTAGTTTTTACAAAAATATTGCTTTTGAAAGTTGCATTTTAGTTTGTTTTTTTCAGTTTTTACAAAAATTTTGTTTTAGAAAATATTTTTCAGTTTTTTTAAAGCAGTTTTTTTGTAAAAAGTGAAAAAAAAATATTTTCATTTTTTCAGTTTTTAGTAAAAAATAATTCAGTTTTTTCCAGTTTTTATAAAAAAAATTGCTTTAGAAAATTGATTTTCAGCTCTTTTTGTTTTTCAGTTTTTACAAAAATATTATTTTAGAAAATATTTTTCAGTTTTTTTAAAGCAGTTTTTTTTGTAAAAACTGAAAAAAAAAATTATTTTCATTATTTTCAGTTTTTAGTAAAAAATAATTTAGTTTTTCCAGTTTTTACAAAAAAAAAATTATTTTTCGGGTATGGGTAATGGGTCTTTTTAATTAATTAGGAGATATTTAGAATTGACCAACATGACGATAACACGTGTCCCTCCGTTTAAATGAGGGGTATATTTGTACCCAAAGTATGACTGCAGGGATATAGATAACCCAATAGTATAACGAGGGGTATTCTTAGACCATTTTCGAAAGTAGAGGGGGTATATTTGGCCCTTTGTCGTTTGATTAATGATTATGTTTACCCGTAAAACGGTACAGTTGAATTTATACGTGGATTGTAGATAAGTAAATTAATTCAATCTTGAAATAACAAGATAATTGAAGAAATATATAACACTTAGCCTTGATAGTAAGACGAAATGAGAGGAATAAAGGCTCTAGTAGTGAAGCCTCCGGGCGTAACAGTAATAAGAATAAGAACAAAAAATAAGAAGGTAAAATTGATTAGTTTGCCAATTAATTCTTTACAATGCTAACAGAGCTCACTATTTATATCTACGTCTAGGAAAGGAGGTCCTAGGATCGTGCCCTTCTTTAATGTCAATTATGAGGGTCATTGATTAAGATGTAACGGTAAGTATAAATGTCAAATTCCTTGTAACGGGCAATGTACTTAATGATATGGAATATTCTCCATTAAATACTACGGGGCGAAGAGTATTTATTGCATCCTTATGAGCGTTATTTTTTTCGGTGACAGACGGGACCGTTGCCTTCAATTTTAACTATCCTTGTCTAAGATTCCACGTGTCCTTTTGGGCGGCCACGAG